GTTTATAAATTACATTAAGAACCTGAATTATTACAGTTACAAAATAAAGCTAAGAGATGAACATTTCTACTTAGCTTTAGAAATCATTTCATTATTCCCATTAATTAAGCTTACATGACTGAGAAGAACGGTGCATTGTGGTACCTCTTTTTGAGGGAACCCAAACTCATAGCATGTCCCAGGGAGGCCAGCTGGATGGTGGTCACACTGAAGGTGGCCAGAGGCAGAGCCAGCTCTTCGTGGTGTTTTTCACAGGTTATACAGCCAGAAGCCTCATCCCCATCATCTGCTCTCAACTGATGTGGGAGCTGTAGGAATTCTCTGGGTTAATTAATTGTGAACGATTTTAATCATGATCATTAACATCTCTAATATTGTTAATAAATAACATAAATTTTTTTACTAGCACGACTCACTTCCCTGTAATTATAAATTGGTGTTCAGAAAATTGAGTTTTCTTTTGGGGTTGGGTGATGGAGAATCCTTTCACCAGGCTTTGGGCAGGTGAGAAGGCAGCAAATGCATCCAGGTAAAACTGGCTAGTTGAACCTTAATAACCAGCAAAGGTGATAGCACAGCAACATTTCTTCTGGAGATAATCTTAAAAACAGCCAGTGTGACAGGTCTGCAAACGCACGCAAACCTGGGGTGATTTGTGTACCAAGGTTTTTTATTAATTCATTTATTTGGTCTGTAGTGTAGGATAGAAACTAAATCACATGCTAATAGAAGTGATTTATAAGTGTATTATACCATGCTTTACAGAATCAGACCCACTGTGAACTGCCTTCCTTTCTTTTAATCTCTCTCTGCAGTGTCTAATTAGATGACGACATCTCAGCCCAGGGTCTGCCACACAGAGTCACCTGAGTTGACTGAGGCCCTATTTCAGCTTCAATTCCATGTTTATAAACACATCTTGCATATAACACAGTCATTTAAAAATCAATTAACTGCAGTCAGCTAAGATTTAAGAGGGTCTGAAGTTTCTCTACCCTCTCTATGCAAGGCCAAATACATCTCATAAGAATTATTGGGGGAAAATAATTATAAAAAATATAACCTGTTTTTTTTTTTTCCTCTCTTTTTTAAATTTATTTTTATTTTCTTGGTTAAGTCACATCTCATAAGAATTATTAGGGAAAAATAATTATAAAAAATACAACCTATTTTTTTTTTTCCTCTCTTTCTTTTAAATTTATTTTTATTTTCTTGGTTAAGTTAGGTCCTAGAATCACCATTGACCTTCTTGATGCAATACTGGGCCAGAAGGCAATAAAGATATTTTCCTAATGCAATGCAAGCATAAACACAGCTGTAGGACTTGGGGAATTGCATGGAGACTCAAGTTTTCATCCCTTTAAATCAGTCCTGACTTGAACCATTGCTGGAGAAACCTAATTCATTTAGGGCTGTGTTACCCAGGTTTCAGTTCACAAACAGTCTCTTTGCTCAGGAGCATTAATTTGGGGGCAAGAATCTGTACTTGAGACTGTCTTTGAAAATCACCCTCCCATTGCCTCCAACAAGGCTACATTTTGGTTCTTTGTCTCCCACTGAGAGCAAGTCACAGCATTCAAAGTCTTACTCTTAAAGCAGAATCTGAGCAGTAGGGTCAGTGATTCCATATCCTGGCTTAGCAAGGCAAGACAACCGTGAGCAAATGGAACAATGATTAAAGGCAGCAACAATGTATTAAAAAGTGTATTTTCCTGAGATTTAAGAGAAAAGAGCCTAATTAATGCTATTAAGCACTTTTTAAAGTGTAGAACCTGTGTCTGTATGGAGTGCAGCCTGAGCAAAGGCAGGCAGGCACCCGGCACTTACTATGTAAATTATCTCCACGCGGTGCTAAATCAATGAGTTTTCCTCTGTAGATGCTCATTCCAGGTTGCTCCCTATAATGACCTCAATTACACATGTCTTCATTGTGAAATTATGATTGCCTTTGGCGGGCTCTAAATGACAGTAGAGAAAAAGATTTCCATGATAAAGCAGCACAACAAGTAATACCTGCTGGCATTAGTATGCGCAGCTTGCAAAGGTGCAGAGCAACTCTGTCTTAACACCTTCAGAAATAAAATTGGAGCAGAGGAGGGGCCGAGGAAAATGTTCGACAATATCTTGACATTTTGAACAAGAAAAGGAATGAATAAGACTTCATGTTCTCCAATGTGTCGCCGTGGGACCTGGTATTGCAAGAGATTTAACATAAGAACATCAGAATGGCTGTGCCTGGGTCACCGCAGGTCCACGGTGCTTTGCAGCTTCTCTCCGACTGAATATAATAGCAGAGAGAAAAGGTGTGAGAGGCAGGACAGAGAGATCCTTCCCATCAATGACCTCTTGGTGCCAACTGCTGGCATGCAAGGAGTGACCCCTCAGCCTCCTGAGCAGGGGAGAAAAAATCACCGAATCGTGGAATGAATGCTGGGTTGGAAGGGACTTCAAAGATCATTTGGTCCAACCTTTCTAGGTAGGAACATGGTTTAGGTGAGATGGCCCAGCACCCTGTCAAGATGAATCTTAGAAGTGTCTTGTGTTGGGGAATTCATCTGGGGAGATTATTCCAACTTTGATAAATATGATTGGCTAGGACGGAAACAGGTTGTATCCAGTGAATGCAGGAAGCTGTTTTGCACGCATCACCCTTCAGAACTTCCAAATGAACATAAAATTGCTTGATTTTGGGACCAAATTGCATTCCAGTCTGTGTTCTGCAAGTGAGTGCACTTTGAATATTACCCATTTGTTCTGATCAGTTTTATACCCAGGGTAAAATTAATTTTAACTCCTAAAGGTTTTGAAAAATAAAGTGAACAGTGTTCAACATTTAATCTAGAGGTTCTACACAAAATCATTATGGTCACTTTAGTAATTTGGACAGATGATCCAACCAGCATCAAGTGTGACTAAGCTCTACCACTTAAGTACAAGAGTCTGAGTCTTTTAAGAGATTTTTTAAAAGCTCAGCCCTCACATCCTCTTCAATAATCCCTGTTTCCTCCCTGATACACCCAATCACATAAAGAAATCTGTTCTCTGACTAGCAATAAAGCAATGACTAAAGCCACACAAAATAATCCTGTATTAGTAGAAGGACTTTTAGATGGTAATAATATATCCTCAAATGTGCTGGTAATAATATGCCCTCAAACATACTCCCTGGAAATACTCAGCAAAGGAGAGTGTGTGTATTGTTGAAGTGGTCGGTACTAATTACAGGCTTTAACATAAAAGTCATTTATTGGCCTGATATGGTTCAGCCAAGAATGGCAGCTGAGCAAGGTGTCTTCTTAATTAAAAGTTAATGTAATTTTCATTAGTGTGCTTCTAAAATGTAAACCCAGAGCTTCTTTAGCTAGCATTTGTAAGATGGGCAGGGAGCCTTCAATTCTACTGTAACAAAACACTCCAAAAATGTTGCTGAAGAGGGAGCTGATGGAAGCCCAGCAGGAGCCAGGAAACTCAAGGCAGCGTGAGAAACAGCAGAGGGAATTAAGGAAAACAGCAGCAAGATGAAAAAACAACTCTCTCCTAAATGAATGACCCTCTATTTCATTTCTCCTCGAGAAAAGATGTGCTCATTAGCCCTACTGCATGCTACAAATTATTGCAATTACCAGTTTTTTATCCTGTCAAGTGCACTCCAAATATTTCGTTCATTATAAGGAGCTCTCTCTTCAGCAGAAAAACACTCCATTCTCTGCCCCTATGCACTGGCTACAGGCTTCAGGCAGCTGGGTGAAGGTGGTGGGGTGGAACATCACTGCTTCTAGGGACACTTGGTCCTGTGTGACCACATCTGAGCTCTCCAGGAGGTACAGAGGGCAATGCAGTTTAACAATGTTTATGTGTTCCTGGCTTTGTTACTCTCCTGCTCAGTGACCTGAGGTGGGTAATGTTCCCTTTCCCAGTCCTCCTCCATCTCCCCATTTGGATTTAAGGCTTCAGGTGTAGAAGCTGCTTGATGGTCTGTGTCAGGCCTTCTTCTCATGTAGTGCCTGTGGGAGCCACCACAACCCAGAGAACAGCAGTAAGTTGGTCAAACATTCTAATTTTTCATCACCCATATATCAAACTAAAGCTACAGTTTCTTTTCAACAGCTTCCTACAATAGTGCTGAGAATATCAAGTGGGGGAGCAGCTCACAGCTGGCAGCCACGACATGTATTGATCTCTGCAGCCCCAAGTCAGCCTCACATCTCCAGTGGCCAATGCAATTTGTGGCACATTCAATTTACTTCTTGCTTAAGTGGAAGGTGCAGGAAGAGGCAGGAGGCAGAGCTGCTTGGTACCGTTTAACAAGCAGGTTTTACACTGTGTGCTCCCAACCAGCTGTGAGAGCAGTGCACTGCCCTCAGTGCTTTCAGGCTTCCCCAACCTACTGAGAGGGACCAAATGTTTTAGTGAACAGATTTAAGAGATTTACTGCTCTAGAGATGTTAAAGCCATTCTTCTGTTAGAGGGCATGAGGAGATGGAAAGTGATACTTGCAGAAGGAGATGCTGGAGGTTTTCTGGTTTTATTCCATGCATTTCCATGGTGTAAGCCTCATAAAAGGGTGCAGGAATTTCCCACCAAAGGTGTTAACTTTTAAGACAAAGTTATATCTAAAGCTGTGAACTGACATGATAAAGATGAGTGTTTGCATTCACTGGAAGTCAGCTCTTCTTTAGAGGGCTGGGGGAAAGTGCATGAAGCATTTAGATCTTAGCCAGGCAGGTAGACTAAGTGACACACAGACCATATTCAGATCCTAATGACAGAAGTGAGAAGCAGCTGACGAAGATGAACAGTAATTTTGTGGTAGGTTCAATTGCCAAGCCTCTTGGCTTTATTTTGGGGGATTTTTTTTACAAGGTAGCTATCCATCTCCTCGCCAACATCCTGCAAAGTTATTCCTAGAATGGGGAAGAAGGAAGGCAGACTGGGGAAAAAGGGAACAGTTTCCTTTTGTGCTCCTTGGTGTCTGATTCGTGGTTTGTTGCCTTTTGCAGAGGTGGTTCAGCTGAGCCTGCCAGAGGAGCAGAAGGTCAGCCTGACCACCATCACCGTTGGCCTGAGCACCGTGCTGACCTGCGGCATCCGCGGGGCGCTGCGACCTCCCATCATCTGGAAGCGCAACGGTGTGATCCTCAACTTCCTCGACCTGGAGGACATCAATGTGAGTCACCCTGGCCATTTCTTTTGCTGGGCATTCAGGATGACTCCATTTACAGATGATAGTTTTAAGGGAACAAGTTTTATTTCTTTATTGTTACTGGAAAACTGGAAGCTGGCGTGATCTTTTAGTTTTATATGAATTATGAATACGTCTCAGGAATAACGGCAAAGCAACTTGTGTGCAGCTGAAAGCATGGGCACTTGGAATGTGACATCAGGAAATTAAAGCTCAGAATGGTAGTTCAACCAGTGCTTACATTGCCTTGGTACTTCATCCCTTTTTGCTCATTCAGTTCGTTGCAGCCTGTGGCCCACAGACAGCAGGCCTGGAAACCCAGGACTCCAGCAGCTCTACAGACCATTTACTCCTCAGGGATCCCATTCCCAGAACAAAGAAATGGGTTCATGGAGAGCACGAAACAATACATTTATACAACACATTTATAGTAGGCAATGAAACTTCTCCATCTAAATCACATGATACATTTTTATCTCTGTTCCTCCAGTTTCACTAGCCTTTCAGCCAATTCTCATATCTCATTCCTCTCCTCCTATTTCTGATGAGCATTTTAAAATCTGGGATTATTCAGCAGGGTGTGACAATGCCCTTGCAGGAAAGAAGATGAATGTCTCTTAACTCATGGTGTTGGTCTGATGTGCAAGTCACAGTTTGAAGTAAAGACAATACCTGAATGATGGTATAAACCTACTCATTTATTTAATAACATTTAATTACAGAGAGAGTGGAAAATATTGTACAAAAAATACAGTGTGTATTTCATTTCTCTTTGCATTAAAGTACACAGTAAATCAGGTTTTATTTTAATTACACTGCAGCAAGAGTTGATTTATATTTTTGCTCAGCTTGTGTTAATTTGATAACCACTCAATTTGGAGTTGTTACAGTCAATACTACAGCTCCCTAAATTGTTGTGTATCCGGGATTGCTGAAATGTGAAAAATCCTTGTTTCACTGTTCTGCATTAATACATGAAACTACAGCATATCAGAAATTTCTGCAACTTGGTACGTTATTTGTTGACTCTACCTTAGCAGGAAAATTGTGTGCCCTACGTATAGGTGATTACTGTGTGCCCAAACTCAATAATTCTAACCATGTAAACATTTTTCATTGCAACCAAAGCAAGCATTACCCTTTAAAAATGCATTTCTTGTCACCTTTGGGAGCATGACATTGAGATGTGACATAAAACCAGCGAACATCCCGCCTGATCCTGGCACGCAGGATTGCACAGCCAGCCCCAGGCTGCTCTACCTGACCAGATTCCTCCCAGACATCCTTCAGTGACAGGGTTAGAACAATGACCTTAGAGTCACTGGCACTAAAACTGCCTGGAGAGCTGCCCAGCTGCCACAGGCATGGTCAGGGGGTCCCTGCTGCACTGGGAGCCTGGCAGGGCCGTGCGGGTGGCTGCCCTCTGTCTGCACCACCCCCTGCAAATGCTCTTCAAACCAGTTCCTTGGCACAGAGTAAGCTTTGTGAAGATTACACACACTCTCAACGTGCTTAGTTTAATCTGCAGTGAGCAAATCCAACAGCTTTGTGCAACCATGGTCTAGAGAGAGCAGTTGTATTTCTTTTGGCAGTTGTATTCTCTAGATAGTCTGAGATGTTGTGTTTTTAGGGTCAGCTTTCTTGCTGGGTTTAGAAGAGAGGTTCAGCTGTTCTGAAATCTTACTTCCACACACTACAGAGGCTCTTTGAATTATTATCTTTTTTACAAAAAAACAAGGAAAATTCCAGGTATTCATCTTACCTTTATGAAATATTGGTTATCATCACATTAATCATAAAAGATTAAAAGTTCACATGTGAACTGGACACAAAAATACAGTACAGGAATTGGAAAAGAAGCATCTCTTTGAAGGGGCAGATAGCACATAGCTCTGGGGCTTCATTTGCAACTCCTACTGTGTTAAATAGAATCTTGAGGAGCACACTTTCAGGCTGAAATGGCAGTTCCTCCCTAATTTAGTGCAGCCCAAGTGGATTTCTGGTTTACTTATAAGCAATTCTCTTTCTCATTGGTTATTAAATATTAAGAGAAGGAGTTATATTCTTATATATGAACTGGTTCCTGAATGATTTAACAACCCCTTGGACAGTCCCATGAAGCAGTACAAAAATAATCACTTTTTGATCTGTTTGAACTAGTGTATCACTGAGAAATTGTATCAAAGGAGCATTCTGAGATTCTTGCATGAGAAAAACAGATTTATGCTTCAACTTAAATGTTTCACATGTCAGTTTATGATCTCTATCACCTTGTCATACAACACCTGCTACTAGGGTGCATCAACTTTTTTTCTATCTAATAAACACCTCCACACCTTTTTCATCTTTAATGAAAGTGTAAAGTGTTTGAGGTTCTGTATATATCACTGCCATCTGTGTTCTGATCTGGTTACTTGAAGTGACACAGTTGGGGGATTACCATCTTTTATCTTCCCTTTTTCATCTTGGGCAGTCTGTAGGACTTGGATCTGTCCCCTTTCTGGCTACCAAGGACAGGCACCTCCATGTCCCTTGTTCCTAGCAGGGATGAGGAGATGGTCCTTCAGCTGGTAAATCCAGTCTTTTTATTTAGATGAATCACAACTTTAAAATCTAGCAGCAACATATGCTTAGAGGTTTGCAGTGTGACAATGTGTGGAGCCCCAGAGCATGGGCTGGGACAGGTGGCAGCAGATGCTTCAAAGCTTCAACTTCTCCTAGGTACAGAAACTCACATTAAACAATAATCTATTTACAGGCATTGGCAGCATGAAAGTAAAGGCAGTGTGCTCCTTAATACACTTGAAGTCAGTAAATTAAATTACTTCAGTTTTCTTCTAGTATGCCTTAAGCAGAAACTCAATTGCATTTTGGCTTTCCACAATAAGAGTAGCAATTTGGCTAATTGGAAGTGCAACAGGAGATTAATTGTACCTTTTTAACTTCAAGAAAATCCTCCCTGCTCCTGGCATGGTGGTAATCACATACAAACCTACAGGATAGTCACACACGTGGAAAAATCCTTGTTTCATATTTCAATTAAACTCATTCTCCTCTAAATGCTAATGCAAGAAATCAGATGAAAATAGAAACACAGCTGTAGGGGAAAAAAATAACAAAACAGAATTGTTCCAGCAAGGTATGAGAGCAGGAGAAGCAGGGCTAAAAGGCCTTTGTGGCTTTATCCCCTCCAGATTCGTGGCTTTATCCCCTCCAGATTCTTGACAAATGTGGTATGAGAAACTTCACTGCGTTCCAGATTAATACTAGAGGTGACAAAGATGGTCCACAAAACCCTAGATAATCCTAAATTTACACAGAACTGAGAGGTTGAAGATAACTGTAAAGCCTGCTTGTTGAAGTGCATTACTTAAATCATTTTTATGTGATACCTTGATTGGCAACAAAATACTAATAACTTTTTATTGCTCTTTTAATCAGAAGCCTTCATAAGCAACATCATTAATAATTTGTCTTGTCCTGTCTCTGAGGAATGCTGTTAATGAGTTGTCAAATAGCTACTGCAAAAGTGCCATCTTAATGGTACATGTAATTAAATGATTTTTCTTGCAAACATTTAGGATTGCTTTTAGCATAGAAATATCATTTATCCATAAATTACCCCTCCATATTATTTATCCATTAGAATTCTCTTTGCAGCTGTACTTTAAAAAAAGACTAACATCAACTTTTCTCATGCAGAAAATAACTATAATGTAGCTGAAACTGTTCAGGTTGTGATAGCTCTAAATTGATTTCTGACTACAAATAGTGAAGTGGTTAAAATGTGTCATCTTCCACAATAATATACTTTTGTCCCCTAGGAATAAGCAGGATGTTTTCCTATATCTGTTGTTATGAAAGCTTTCCTTGATTTGAAAATATACTAAACTCCTCATGGAGTCAGATGTACTTATTCAGTGTTTACAGGGTATTGTTTCACATGATTTGACATCATCTGCAGAGAAACAAACACATTTGTAAACAAAATGTATAAACAAAAGGTTATGTTCCAGAAGCATGGTGAAGTCATAGACAGGAGAGGAGAGAGTATTACCATAAGAAAACAAATGTGATGGAATACAGGTAGATAAGAATCTGGTGAATTACCAAGTGTAATGCAGGTAGCTATAACAAGAATTCATTAGTATTCATTTCAAATTCATCCATACATTTTACCTCAAATCTGCATTAAATCATTAGTTCAAAAAACAGCTTTTCCTTGCAGATCATTGACGTTCAGATTTCTTCATTTCTATAAAGTTTTTTCTCTGTCTTGGATCTTTGCAGGCTCTAAAATAAAGGTTAAGTGGAAAATTAATACTTAGAGTGTTTTCAGGATGTGTATATAATCTCTCACTTTGCTGTCATGAAGAACATAGAGCTTGCATCCACTTGTGCCCTCAGTGGATTAGCTCATTTTTGGGTCTCAGGCTGAGTTTGTAGGTGATGATTGCACAGCCAGAAATACCTTCACAGAGAGTTGTTCACTGGCCCTCAATAACCAGGGGCTTCACCTTCCTAAACATCCTGGTGTGGAGGAAGATGTTGCTCCGGGGTAGTTTTGTTTTGCTTGCATTTTTAGAGGCATGTGGGGCACATACATTGGGACATTTTTGAGAAACCTGAGCTGGTTAGATGGACTCTCCTAGACATGAGTCCTTCAGGCTGGGTGTTCTAACAGAAAAGCAGAACTGTGAGCACAGCTGGAGTCTGCTAAAAATGAGCAAGAAGGAAGGAGTGAGCCCATCTGCTGCAAAGTACTAAGGCAGCTAGACTGGCACACTTGAAAAAGATGCATTAAAAAAAAAACTGAGAATGAGCTGAATTAGGACTCCCTGAAATCAGTTGTACTCTCTAGTATCTGCTCTGTTGGAAGGGATAATTGAATTACAGACCAAAATCCATGAATCTCACTTATCTACCTCTCTACTGTAGGGAGAAAGTTGGAGTTTATGAATATAATTTCCTCCAAAGATTGGTAC